GTAATATGAATTGCAGTTCTCTGCTATTTCCAAATAAACACCCATCAGCTTGCTGGTTCACCACACCTGGAACCACAGCTGCGAGAGAGTCTTGGAAATATAGTCACAGGAGATTGTTAGTGACCCAGGCTCACTCATCCCTATATCTCCACCTCGGACGTGTCCTCCTATTGCCAGTGGAGACGATGTCCTGCCCCTAGGTTTGGTTGTATGATAAAGGGGGGCAAGATATGTTACCCAAACATGCCACTTTGGCATTTGTAGGATTATTTTGAACTGGAGAAGCAACAGAGGCAGAAAGAAGCTGGCTCAGCTCTTTCTTTATTTGACTAAATGCAGGAGCTTCTGAAAAAGGAGGACTGCCCTAACCCCTCTCTTGGGGGAGTTTTATGGCCATGAAGAGGATGGAAGGTGCTAGATGAGATATTTCCAAGACTCTTGCAGCTAAGGTTTCTAGGGTGTTTATTTGGAAATAGCAGAGAATTACAATTCATACTGTAACAGGGGGGTCCCCAGGAAAGGGGGAGGTTCCAGGTTCCCTGCCCCACCCAAGGGAGGGTGGAGCTGAGCAGGGAGAGAAGAAGCTGCAGAGGAGACTGAGGAAGGAAGCAGGATGGAGCCAGAAGGAGACCTGGAGGAGGTGCATGGAGCCTAGAGACACGTGAAGAAACTGTGCTTGTCTTTGGTCGTGGACTGGGTGACACAGATGTGGGTGAGACCCGTGGGGAGGTGACCATGGCAGCTTTTATCTTGATGTTGATTTTGCTCTTTTCCTTCCGGGCTTGTGTGGTTGTTTCTGACCCTTTTCTGTGGGTCCCCACTGGAAGATGCTTTAGACTTGGGGCAGGCTTTGGGGCCTTGCTCTGGGCCAATCCCATTGGGATGGAGTTTTACCCACGAGGGGACGGGTCACTTTGGGTTCCTGATTTAGAAACTAGATTCTTTGCCTTTCCTGTCTTGTTTCCTAATTGTATTAAAGTTCCTTCCCATTAAAGTCTCATATGTTTTGTGTTGATGCGGCGGATGGCAGAACCCATTTAGAATAGGCAGGTTTGTGGGGTTTGGGCTGCCCCTCTCCCTGCCCTGTAACAATATTACACAGATTTAGGCAGGTACGTATCTCAAGGAGGGACCCAGTTTGGGGTGGGGGCCCTTATGGAGGCACCACATGGTCAAAATTTTCTTTACCTGTCCTTTCACACAGGAAACTTCTGGGTGGAAAGTGCTGAGATGAGTCGGCAAACAAACCAAAGAGTCACTCCATTTCCCATTAGTTTCCCCCATGTATTTACGTTCCTGAAGTTCATTGCTCTCAGAAACCCAGGCAACTTCTCAACAGGAAGGATTGTGTCTGGTCGGTGGACTAAGGGTCCTTTTCTGGACATTACAAATCAATTGTATTGGGGACTGAGCAGTAGGGGGCAGTCCCTCATATTTGCCTCTTTCTTAGCTGTGAGTAACTGAAGGTCCTATTTTAAAGCTTTGCCCTCTGTTTTATTTTAGGACCCACTCAAGGAATCGTGTAGTTTCTACTGACTCAAGTTTCGTATCTTACATAGGTAAGTTTATCACAAGCACACAAGGATGCTTCTAGTCAAATTGGGTCATTAAGATAAAGTCCTCTAATGGGTCATCGGCACTTAGAGTCTGTTCTCTTCACTGCCAGCAGGGAATCCCACCCCCACCATCCTGGCCTCCGTAATCAGCACATTGACCATCTTGTTTCATAAATAAATCCTGCCACCCTTTCCGCTTCATCCTGTAGATTTGCTTTAAAATCAAAGACATCTTATTTCCCCCATAAATACCCAATATGGGGCTTCCCCGGTGGCGCAGCGGTTGAGCTCTGGGTTGCGAGGCTGCCCGCGGCCTCTGCAGTGCCGGTTCGATCCCCGGCTGCTCCCCAGCCCCCGGAGGAGGGTCCCACATGGCGCGCAGACCCCTCCTGCCGCCCGCTGCTCCCCTCAGCAGTGTACTTCGGTCCTTCTGCCTGCTCTGCTCCCCGCTCTGGCTCTGGTGAATTCTCTCACCCTCCCGCGCTTCTGACGGTACCCAGTGCTTGTATAAATAAATATATAAATAAATAAAAATTAAAAAAATAAAGTTCAATGTACTTTCTCTCCTTTATAAATAAATAAATAAATAAATACCCTATATGTACTTCTAAAAGATAAGGACTCTTCTTAAAAATGCACTGATTACACTCGAGGTTAATATTTACTCTGTATTGATCATTCAGTGAGTACGGACATTTCTGTGATTATCTCAGTTATTTTAGAGCTGTTTTGATCAAGCCAGGATTTAATCCTAGGTCACATAATAATCCCTACTGTTCTAGATAGATGTGCTAATCAGTCTCTTTACCCTGTGGGTCTTCTGGCACAGTTCCCTTCCCCCACCAACACTTAAAAAAAAAATACAAAAGACAAGGGCCTCCCTGGTGGCGCAAGGGGTTAAGTCTCATCACTATGAAGCTATCAGCAGCCATTATAGCATGAGTTCTATCCCCGGCCAGGGAGCAACCCACATGGCAAGCAGACCTCTCCGGTCTCCTCTCTGCTCCCCTCAGTAGTGGATTTCAGTAGATCTGCTGTTCTACTCCTCATTCTGTCTCTGGTAAATCCTCTCACCCTCTGCACCTCTGGCCTGTACCCCAGTTCTTGTACGCATAAATAAATAAATCTTTAAAAAAAATGAAGTTGTATGATATGTGGTATTTTGTACCTCGCTTTTTTCATTTTGCATAATGCTTTCATTTTGCTTCATGTAAAGTAATCAGCGCTTCATGTCTGTTTATTGCCCAATACCATCCCACTGAGTGGATATCATGTTTATTTATCCATTTGATATCTGATTGACACTTGAACTCTCTGAGTGGGCCGCGAGGCCAATAACGTTCACGTCTAGGTGTTTGCACGGGCATGTGCTGTTTGCTTCCTCTCTCCACTCCCTGCGGAGTGGAGTTCCTGAATCATCTGTGGGCGCTCTGTGTTGAGCTGGTTGGGGAACCGCAGACTCTTGTCTGCGGCAGCTGAGTCATTTCGCATCCCCACTGGCCATGCCGAGCGGTCCAGCGCCTTAGCCTCACCAGGACTCCCGGGGTCTGCTCTGTGTTCTCACAGCCACCCTAATGGGGACCTCAAGGTGCTTCTGAATTGCTTTTCCCTGGTGGCTACTAGTAACTTTGAGCATCTTTTCACAGATTATTGGCTACTCGTATATCTTTTGGATAAATATCTTCTATAAATCCCTTTATCATTTTTTTTTAACTGGACTATTTACCTTCGTTTTTGAGTTCTAAGACTACATTCATTTTTTAAAATGGAAAAATATTTAAATTTGTAATGTAATAGGCCATGTGTCAAAATCATATAACGCATAAAATTATATAACATAAAATTATATGAAAGTAAAAAAATATGAGGCTGCAAGCTCAGACTATGGGGCCACGTGGTGAGAGAAGACTCTGCCACAGCCCCAGTCAACCCCCTCGGCCCCAGCCCAGCCGGGCTGACCCAGGCCCGAAGAAACACCCAGAAAATACGAATTGCAAGAAAGAGCCATTTGTTGTGTCGAGCTGCTTGCTCAGGACTTATTCCTTCATCTTCGTGCTGGTGGGAAATACTTGACAGGCGCAGCGGCAACCCAGGACACAGCTGGTGGAGCCCCAGGCTGAGCATGGCGACTGACCTCTCTCTGGGCTTCAGGCGGCTGCGAGGCCTGTCCCAGGCCACCTGCCCACCTCTCCACTATTAGGTGAAATGTGGAGCCCGCAGTGTCTTTGAAACTACGCGTGACGGGTCTCCCGTGACAGCGGCTCTGCTGGCAGCAGGCTGAGGGCGGAGGGGCTCCCAGAAATGTCCCGTCACCCTTGGGTCTTCAGCCTCCAGGGACAGAGGGGGTCACTGTGAGTGTTTCAGGGACGGTGGAGGACAAAGAGCCTGGAAGAGAGAAACTTCCTGGCTCTTCTCCTCCTTGGCTGGATAGACCCCTTCCTCGGTGCACAAAGCAAGCTTCTCCACCGGGCCAGGCCTGTCTGTGGGAGAGCAGCTGAGAGGGTGCGGGGCTAGTGGGAAGCCATTCAGCGGCCAGCGAGGGGTCCCACGCTGCGGCAGGACGGAGGCGTGCTCTGCAGACGGGTTTGGATGCAAGAGAGGAATAACTCTGAATCTTTCCTCATAGGCAGGCCCCTATGGTATCTCAATGAGGCAAATGCCCCAGACGGAGGCCATTCCCTGGGGCCGCTCCAGAAATTCCTGAGTGAGGGGAAGATGGGGAAGCCCAGGCTGCACCCCTGGGGGGCTGGCTGAGACCCAGTATGAGCTGTGCTTTAGGAACTTACAAGGGGATGAAAGGGGAGAACTTCCCTATTCATGTTGGCCCCAAGGACAGGAGCAAACAGAAGCGTGATTCTTAACACCCTGTGGCTTTTGGGCATCTTGCCCTCAAACAGAATAGAGGCTGTTCATTCCTGTCTTGCATTTTTAGGCTTTGGGGGTGATGGGAACTCCTTGGCACGGATGTTCCTGTTTATTCTCTCCTATAGTTCCCTACAGGAGAAGCCAGAGTGATTAATTTTTTTTTTACCCACTGGAGAAAGAAATGAAACAAAAAGTTCATCCTTCTGGGCCTCCCTGGTGGTGCAAGGGGCTAAGCACAGCACCGTGCAGTTATCCGCAGCCTCTGCAGCATGAGCTGAATCCCCGGCCAGCCGGGGAGATACCCACATGGCGCAGCAGAACTCTCCTGTCTTGCCCGCTGCTCCCCTCAGAAATGTAATTCTGTTGCTCTGCCCATTTTGCTCCCCAGTCTCTGGTGGATCCTCTCGCCCCGCCCCCCGCCCCCGAGCTCTGGCCAACACCCCCGTTCTTGTATGCGCAAATAAAAATCTTAAAAGAAAATTTACTATCCAGACTTGCTCATAAAGTTGGCAACCTTGAGTTACTGTCCACTCTCTTAATCTAACTTTTGACCTTTAGATTTCTGAGCTAGGTCAGCATGTGAATAATGTGCACAAGTGGGTATTTGTATAGATTTATTCATCAATTGTTCATTCGTTATTTACACCATATACTTTCTTTCTCCATAGCACGGAAGAAATCACAAGTGTTTAGGGACTCAGGGGCCAACTTGAAGTGGGTACCCACAGGGAAACTCAATTATCTCTTTGCATAAGAATGTGCTTGATTGTTAAGTGACCGCTTGGCCAAAGCAGGACAGGCACAAAAGAGCCCATGGGTGGTGCTGAGTTGAGCTCACCACTGTTCAACTTTCTTCTCCATGACAAACTGTCCATGAGGCCCGTCAGCGTCTGAGGGCAGAAGGGCCAGGTAGACCGGGGTCTCTGCTCCTTCTTCTGGACTTTTGGTGGCTTTGGGACCAGCCATGTCGGTCCTCACCCACCCTGGGCAGCAGGCATTCAGAAGGATCTTGTCTCCTCCCCTCTGCTCACTCAGTTTCCTGGCATGGATTCGGGACAGGACTGTGACCCCGATTTTGGACACGCCGTAGGCAGTGTTAGGCCAGCCCTCCTTCTGGTGCACCCCATTCTTTGTGTCTTCCACAAACTTGTTCATGAGTGCCACCAGCTCCTCCTCCGTGATGGTCTCACTTCTGAACTTCTGCTGCAGGTCGGGGCTGCAGTTTTTGAGGGCTCTGAGAGACACCATGCTGGATATGTTCACCACCCTACCTGAAAATCAACACAAGCGGTTACCTGGAAGGGTGTGCAAAGTGTGATGAATCCCAAATGCACTAGCATTATGGAGCAGAAAATCTACAAGAGTTACATTTGAGTTTATTGGAGACTTTGGAGTGAAGGACATGACACCATCTTAAAACTTGTCATACTGAAAATGTCTCAGATGGTGTCAGAGAAATGGTCAAATGGTAAATAAATGATAATCATTTTGTAGGAGCAGGTTAAGGGGTAGGTGGAAGTGCTCCTGCATTCTTAAGCAGATGGCATCTCTTCCCCTAAAGTTCTGAAATTGTAAAGACCAGGAATGTGCTCCCAGGAGATGCAATCAGCCCAGTGTGGCTGAGCATAGAGGCGGCAGGACCACCAGTTTGGGGCCACTGGGAACTTTTTTTAAAAAAGATTTATTTATGTAAATACAAGAACTGGAGTACAGACCAGAGGTGTGGGGGGTGAGAGGAGTCACCAGAGACAGAGTGGGGAACAGAACAGTCAGACTGACTGAAATACACTGCTGAGGGGAGCAGCGGGAGAGACAGGAGAGGTCTGCTGCGCCACGTGGGTAGCTCTATGGCCGGCCCAGGATTGAACTGGTGCTGCAGAGGCTGCGGATAGCTTCATACTGCTGTGCTTAACCCCTTGTGCCACCAGGGAGGCCCGCACTGTGAACCTTAAGGTCGTCTGGACAGTGCTCTCTGAAGCAGTCTCTGGGGACCAGTAGGAAGCTGAATGGCTATGGGTGGCAGTTGCAAGGTGACAGGGAAGCCTGCCACAGTGCTGGAGGAAGCTCAGAAGCCGGTTGTGTGAGCTGTGTGTTTTTTATTTTGGCGTTTGGGTTTCTATGAGCTCGGGAGCAGTGTCCAATGTCCCGGTGATACCACCGTCAGGCGGGGCAGAGGAATGGACTGCAGATTTCCCACTAGGCAAAAGGAGAGCATACCTATTTAGCATGATGGTAGCTTTATCTTGGATTTGGGGAACGTAATTATCATAATGTACACGGATAGCTCTCTGAGCACTCCTGGACCCTAAAAATCCCTACCACATCACACGGAACAGGAACGTTCTATTTCCCAAAGGAGGGAGACCTGCACTAAAGGGATGGCCCTACGGGTCAAGGCCTGTGGAGTCCCTCGGGGATGGAGGGAGTGAAAGCAGGACGGGCCAAAGCCCATTGGAAGAAACAATTTCAGGACTGGCCAGAGGCTGGGCCCAGCAGGTGGGCACCCTGCTGTGCTTCTCTGAAATGGCCTTCCAGGTCCATGTGATGAGTGGACATGAGGAACAGCAGCAACACAGAGAAGGGGGAATTGCTGATAGGACGCGGACACCCCCAGAGGCACAAAACACTGGGACACTCTGTTTACCAGCCATAGAGTTCTGGAGGCTCTGGGGCTGATCCCCGAGGGGATGGCCCTGCATCAAGATGGGAAGTTGGTCAAATGAATTCTGACAAATGCCATACCCCCTCGGGGCCAGGCTCTGCATCCCCAAAAGTAGATGCAAACCTTCTCATAGTGGAACAGGACCGGGAGAGAGGACACTTCCCCCATTTGGACTGACAAGTGACATTTCTTCAGCCCACCAGACGCACCTTCTTCTACAGTGGTCTGACAGACAACTGGGATGGACAATTGAAATGATGTTTCCTTAAACACGAGGGGCAGGTGGGAAGGGTGACTCACACACATCCACGGGTGTGTACTCAGTCAACATGAGTGGGTGCAGGACAGACTCTGCTTCTCCAGGGTTCTGGGGTGACTATACACTTGTCCACAATGCCACCTCAACACCTGTCTTCCCACCTGATAAGGTGGTCCCAGCACCACTGCTGCGGTGGTCTTAGCAAGAAACCAGAAGCACAACTTTCAACTTGGAAGTCAGAATTCCTAGGGGGCCGATGGAGTGGATTTTGCCTGCACCCAGCTGGTAAGATGGGAGCAGGGTGCGGAGCCCCACCGCACAGTGGTGGAGAAGCCGGATGGTTCTGGACCCATGTCAGCCCACGGACTGCGGGCGGGGCCGGATGGAAGGGAAGGGCCTTGTTGGAGAAGAGGCATCGCAGGCAGGGTCAGGACAGTGATGTCCCTTGGAAAGGTGCAAAGGTGCGGGTGAAAGACAAGGACAGTGGGGACAGTGGGGACAGTGAGGGTAAGGACAGAATAAAGGAGCTGAGCCATAAAAGAAACCCCATTCTCCATTGTTAGCTCCGCCTTTTATCTACAAAGGCGTCTTCCTGAGCACGTTCAGTGGTGCTTCCCACAGAGTTTTTTCTCAGACCTTAAAATCTTTTAATATCACTAAATAGTTCTGCACAAATAGTTTTATGTAAGTTCTATACAGCTGTTGTTTAAGTGAAGAACCGTATTAGCACAAAACATTGAAATGTATAGTGGGTGTTATATAAATTCTGTTAAGATGCTCAATGATCCTTTTGTTACATAGATCTTTGGCAAGACACAGCGGTGGCCTGTGTGAGAAAAGGATTAAGCTTGAACAAAGCAAGGCCTGGCTCTCTGCCTAGCACTGGAATGGGTCGTGTGATAAAAATTTCTTTCTTTCTCTGGATTTCTGGGTCAGGCCATATGATCTATGCTGACCATGTGATCATGCTGGGGCCAGGGGCTGCTATCAGTGGACCTCGGGAGGGGCTGCAGAGTTGGGTCAGCCAAGAGGGCCATGAGTGAGGTTTCTGTGACCAGCCCCCCAAGAGAAACACTGGACAGCAAGGCTGGGGGAGGTTCCTAGTGGTCACCGTGGGTATTGTCCCAGGTGGCCGGTACAAGAAAGAGCTGCTGTCCACAGCAATTTATGGGCAGCGGAAAATTAGAAAGCTCCACGTATGGCTACTTCTGGCCCATTCCTATGAGGATTCTCCCACTGTTGCTTTGAATTGGTATCCATTTAGATACAAGGTAACCCTGAGTATAACAGTTCTGGCAGATTGTGAAGCTGCCCTCAGCCTCTGCAGCGCTGGTTCGATCCCCGGCTGCTCCCCGGCCACCGGAGAAGGGTCCCCCATGGCGCGCAGACCTCTCCTGCCGCCCGCTGCTCCCCTCAGCAGTGTCCTTCCGTCCTTCTGCCTGCTCTGCTCCCCGCTCTGGCTCTGGTGAATTCTCTCACCTCTGGCGCTTCTGACTGTACCCAGTGCTTGTATAAATAAATAAATAAATAAATAAATAAATCTTTAAAAAAAAAAAAAAAAGATTTGAGTCCCTCTAGTGAATTATTGAACTTGGCGTTGGGGACTTCCTGAACTTGTAAAGACCAAGAATAACAACCCCAGTTGGTTCTTCTGGGATGTAGAAGCCAGTTAATATAACAGTCGATCAACAGACGGGAAATATCCATGGGACGAGATGCAGAGAAAGACACCGGGGGCTAGCGACTTGGTGGTAGTGTGGGTTCCACCAGCCTGAATAAGGTTGTCTGAGAGAGGGGGAGGCAGGTGTGGGTCTGGGATAGACGATTGGAGTTCACAGTGGAGGACACACAGCACGGGGGGCCTCTCTGAGACTCTGCGGGAAGACCCGGAGGGTCAGGAGTGCTGTGTGCAAGGAGAGCAGGCCCGAGTGAGGAAAGTGTGTACAGGTGGGAAGCAGCAGGTATGTGCTCCCGGGAGACGCAACCAGCCCAGTGTGGCTGAGCACACCTGCGGCAGGACCCGCAGGGAGGGAGGCAGGCAGGCAGGGGCCAGGTCCTGCCAGGGACTGCAGTGTGGGTCCTCCACACACTCCCTTGGGGTTCACACTCACCTTGGGGCTTTATAAGGGGCAGCAGTTCTGCGCTGACATCTCTAGTTCCAAAAAAGTTTGTTTTCATGGTTACCTCTGCTTGGACGTGGAACGGTGTGGGATCATTCACTGTCGGGAGAGAAGCAGAGCGGGGTTAATAAGCAGTGGCCGCTGGCAAGATTCCACAGAACAGTGAAAACACAGTGCATGTAAAACCTGCTGAATTTTTAACTGGCTTCTAGTTATGGTGTTGCTGTAGGACACCTTCTGCATTTGCAACACTCCAGGCTTTGGAGAGGTGTCCTGGGGGGAGGCTGCGTAAAGTCTGCACCCGTGAGAGCTCTTGGACCAGATTTCGAGATTTTTCCCTTTTATTTCAAAACACATAAAAAAACCCCGCCCCACTGGCCTCGAGTGTAATCAAGACAAAGTGCGGCGACCTGGACATGCCCCGCGAGTGGCGCCTGGGAAACATAAGAGGCTCTGGCTGGAGAGCCGCGGAATCCCCAGGAGCGCAGGTCAGCGCACCCCCGCCCCACCCCACCCCGCCCCGACTCCCGCCCGGGGGAGGCGCTCCGGACCCCGAGGGCGCCTGGCGCGCGCCCAGGGCCTCCCCGACGCGGCTCCCGGCGGGCGGAGGGGCCCGGGGTGCCCGCCGCGCCCCGCGCTTTACCCTTGAAGGCGATGCCCGCGTTGTTGACCAGCACGTCGAGGCCCCCGTACTCCCGGCGCAGGAAGTCGCGCAGCGCGCGGACGCTGCCCGGGTCGTCGATGTCCAGCGGGTGGAAGCGCGGGCTCAGGCCCTCGGCCTGGAGCTGCTGCACGGCCGCCCGGCCCCGCGCCGCGTCCCGCGCCGTGAGCACCACGTCCCCCGAGAACTGGCGGCACAGGGCGCGCGCGATGGCGAAGCCGATGCCCTTGTTGGCGCCGGTCACCAGCGCCACGCGCGTGGAGGACGCCATGGCGGGCGCGCGGGCCGGGCGGGAGGGCGAGGCCGCGGGAACCGACCCCCGAGTCCGCCCGTCCCGCGGCGCAGGGGCCTTTATGCGCAGGCGCGCCCCGCCCCACCCCGCCCCGCCCCGCCCCTGGGCCGGCCCCCCGGAACCCCGGGGGTGCAGGGCGGGCGGAGGGGCGGGTCGGCGGGTTTGCAAAACCTGCCAGGGGCGCGGGGTGCTGATCGCTGCGCCTGCCTGCAGCCCCTCGCAGCTAAGCCGAGCGCGCACCTGCTGCGCCAGGTGTCTCTGCTTCCCCCAAGTGTCCAGCGCAGTAGCGCAGTGCTGCTGGAACAACGGGGCATTCGTGCAGACTTTTTTTTTTTTTAATTATTTTTTTTTTTGTGGGACCCTCGCCGGCGGCCGGGGAACTAACCGGCGCTGCAGAGGCTGCGGGCAGCTTTGCAACCCAGCGCTCAACCGCTGCGCCACCGGGGAGGCCCTGATGATGATTTTTTTTTTTTTTTTTAAAACATCCATTGAGCCTAAGTGTTTGCAACTGAAGTTTTGGAATGACCTGGCAGTGAACACGACAAGAGGTCTGGCGTGTGCTGATTTCAACAAAGCTGCCGGCTAATCCTTGGCCGGTTTCCACATCCCTGACCAGTAATGTTTACTTAATCATCAGAGGAGGCGCCCCGACTTGTTGCCGGGTACTGAGGGGAGTCAGGGACTTGGCAGCCCTTCCTCTCGCTCAGGGGCTCAAGGTGACAGGCCAGGATGCCCCAGGATGCCCCCCCCTTTTTAAAAAAGATTTATTTATGCATACAAGAGCTGGGGTACAGGCCAGAGATGGGGGGGGGTAGGCAGTGAGAGGATTCACCAGAGACAGAGTGGGGAACAGAACAGGCAGACTGACGAAATCCACTGCTGAGGGGAGCAGCGGGCGAGCCAGGAGAGGTCTGCTGCACCATGTGGGTTGCTCCCTGGCCAGCCAGGTATTGAACTCGTGCTGCAGAGGCTGCGGATTGCTTCATAGTGCAGTGCTTTATCCTTTGCGCCCCCAGGACGCCTCTTATATACCCCTGTGCTGCGGAAAGAGAGGAAACGGATGGTCATAAAGTTCACAAAGTAGGTCGGGGTGGGAAATGAGTTTTCTTTCTTCTCTGACTTTAAAATGTGAAAGAGGGAACTCTAAGGCCAAGTTTCATTTCTGTTCTGCCCCTTATATTATCCAGTTGCTAAACTGGCCATTTCCATATACATTTAATTAAAAAAACAAAATTTAAGTTTTAGTTCTCTAGTTGCACTGGGCACATTTCAAGTGCTCAGCAGTTACAAGGGTGTGGCTGCGCTGGACGGTGCTGAAGGCCACATTTCCATTCGCTGACAGCTGCGCTGAGCTGGGACACTTGCTGTGTTAACTACCTTGTAATTTTTAGGTAGGTTTCCAGTTGCACACCCCACCACACACACAAAAGCTAATTATTAGGAAAAGACCTTTTCTGTTTTTTGGTTTTTTTTTTTTTTTTTTTTTTCAAAGATTTATTTATTTATTTATGCAAGCACTGGGTACAGTCAGCAGCGCGGGAGGGTGAGAGAATTCACCAGAGCCAGAGCGGGGAGCAGAGCAGGCAGAAGGACCGAAGTACACTGCTGAGGGGAGCAGCGGGCGGCAGGAGAGGTCTGCGCGCCATGTGGGACCCTCCTCCGGTGGCCGGGGAGCAGCCGGGGATGGAACTGGCGCTGCAGAGGCTGCGGGCAGCTTCGCAACTCAGCGCTCAACTGCTGCAGCACCGGGGAGGCCCGTTTGTTTTTTTTAACCTAAATTTCTATTTAGATAATTGGAGATTCTCATGCAGTAGTAAAAAAATAACAGATTTGTTACACATTACCAGTTTTCCTCAATGGTAGCATTTAACCAAATTATAGCATGTCACAATCTGGATGCTAATGTCAAAGCATTCTTGGTGCATATCCAGTTTTCCTTGTGTGTGTGTGTGTGTGTGTGTTTGGATCTATAGAGTTTTATCACCGGTAGGTTAGGTCTGTGTATGCAGCACTGCAGCCGAGATAAGATTCCTGTGCCTTTAAGTATCCCTCCTGTTACTCTTTTATAACTAAGTATCTCTCCCCCCCCCCCCCCAGTATTCTAAAAATTTCCCCTCCATTTCTAAAATTTTGTTTCCAAAATGTTACATTAGTCTTACAGTATGTCACTGAGGACCAAGGAAAAAATTCTACTTTTGCTCTGCTGGAAAATGTTTACCTGCAGCCGGCCAGGGCCACCTCCTGGGGTAGAACAATGATTCTTGTCATGGTGAAAAACCCAGGAACAAAGGAACTTTGGATAAAGTCCATAGACCACAGTTTCTGTCTTGTTTTCTGAGTTGGGTAAGGGAGGAGCAGGAGGTGAGGGCCTGGGCTGGGCCCTCACAGCTCTAGTGGTACAGACACTCAAATGACCTTTGGTCCTGCCTTCTTCCCAAGCACAACAGCTCTGGCTGAATTAGTTCTGTGAGTCAAGGGTTGCTCTGAAGTTGGTGTGAGGGTTTTTCCTTTACCAATTAAATGAGCTTGCTGGGAAACAACTTCCTTTAGTTAACCGATAATGTTAAAAATTCCTATCTTCTTTCCTAAGAAAAATTATGTATTCTTTCTGTACCTGTAACTTACCTGTGTCTGAGGCCAAAAACTCTGGTATTGGCCTCTTGGGTTTTTGTCCTGAGTTTGGCTCTGAATAACCAATTTGTTTCCTTCCCTGTGGTGATTATTACAGTTGTCATAGCCAGTGGTGTTGGTTTTTGTTCACTCTGGATAACTAAGAGCTGTGTTTTGAACTTTCTCTCTTATCCAGATATATACTCAGCTGCTATTTGCTGGACTGTCTCCACAAACCACTTCTTCTTTGTGAGTGTGAGCCGGTATAGAAGGAAGTGAGAGGGTGGGCCTCCCTGGTGGCGCAGCGGTTGAGCGCTGGGTTGCGAAGCTGCCCGTGGCCTCTGCGGTGCCAGTTCGATAGCCAGCTGCTCCCCAGCCACCGGAGGAGGGTCCCGCATGGCGCGCAGACCTCTCCTGCCGCCCGCTGCTCCCCTCAGCAGTGGACTTCGGTCCTTCTGCCTGCTCTGCCTCCCACTCTGGCTCTGGTGAATTCTCTCACCCTCCCGTGCTTCTGACTGTACCCAGTGCTTGTATAAACAAACAAAACAAACAAACAAACAAATAAAAACATGCCTCTATATAAAAAAAAAAAAAAGAAGGAAGTGAGATGGGCACAAGGCATATGGCATGGGAGATTGGCTCGGAGGGCTGAAAACTGTGACTTCCAGTACATGTTGCTTATCCTTTAGTGCTGTCAGGGCCCAGGGGTGCTGAGAGACCCTAGAGATTCTTACTTAGGTGCAGGAAAGAATTCAGGTGGGTCTCAGAGTAGGTGAATTAGAACTGAGACTTTTATTGCACACTTGCAGTACATTCTCAAGAGTGTGAGGATTCAAGAGAATGGTGCCTTGGGTCTCAAGGCTGCTGACATAAAGACCTGTCCTCAGGTGTTGACTTAGAATGATAGTATGTTCATTTGGTAGCCTTTGAGCTGTGGTCATCTTAGGGATTTGGCCCCCAGCTGTTAGAGACTGTTAATGTTTAAATGTTTAACAGTTAAACATTCCCTAGGCCAAGGTAGAGGCCTAGTTGAGAAAATGACTCTGAGAACTGGCTAGTTTGGCTAAGGAGACAATCTTTGTAAGTTCCCATCTAGAAATCGGGAGTATATATTATATCATCCCATTATGAAATTAAAATACCTGTGTCATCTGCCCATTTTGTTCCTGTCTTAAATGCTTTTGTGTGCGAATGTGATGGCTGGTGCTACAGCAACAACCTGGAGACCATGAGGAAACAAACTTAAAACTAACTCCCAGAGATGGTGGTGTGAAAAATTAGAAAGACCCCTCATCCTTGCTGACATGATTGAATCATGGATCCAAACCTGGAACCATCTACTTCCATATCCCCCTTTTCAATAAATTTTAATTCTTATGTAAATTCCCATAAACACCTCAAGCATTTCTCTGATTAGTAGTATCTTACTTAAGCGAAAATATATTATTGCGCAAATGAATATAATAAAGATTCCAGCAGAACTTCCAGCCCAGGTACAATGAACACTCCAATGCAGGCGTCATCAACAAGTTTGCTGACTTACAGCTCTTTCCCTTTCAAGATTCATGGCCAGGGCCTCAGCACTCTTATCTACAAGGTCAGGCAGCTGGCCAAGCTGGTCTGTCTCTCCAAGACCATCCCAGAATGCCTGCATCTTTCCCCCCTTGCCCTAATACCCCCCCCCCCCCAATCTGGGGACTTTGCCAGAAATGGTTGTGTCTGCTGAAAAATGATGCCATCACTATAACAGATATGGAGACAGTTGTGTATGAAAGGAACCCTTGGTCTTTAAACCGGTGCTCAGACCTTACTGGGCTCCTCAGGTCTGGGACCTGATGCAAGAGTAATAAAGCTTCTCCTGACCTCACCATTCCTGAAGTACCGCTTGTTTTTCCTCTGCCTGGGGAAAAGGCTAGAATTCATTTCCACATTACTACTGTGGGGCATTTGTCATAAACCAACATTGGAAGGTTTAGCCAAGTTTCACGCTTTATTTGACTTCCCTAGTTTTTCCCCAAATGATCCCTTTCATCCTAAGATTCCCTCCAGAAAACCACTTTACATTTAACTGTCATGTCTCCTTGGTCTCCTCTGGCTTATGACGAATTCTAAGTTTACTTGTTTTTCATGAATTTTGACAGATTTTAGGACTACTAGTCAGGAGTTTTTGGTTTTGGCCAATGTTTTCTTTTCTTTTTTTTTAATTTATACAAGAACCGGGGTACAGACCAGAGGTGTGGGAGGGTGAGAGGATTCACCAGAGAGAGTGGGGAACAGAACAGGCAGACAGACCAAGACACTGCTGAGGGGAGCAGCAGGTGAGACAGGAGAGGTCTGTCGCACCATGTGGGACCCTCACCGGCCGGCCAGGATCGAAATGGCGCTGCAGAGGCTGCAGACAACTTCACAGCGCGGCGCTCAACCACCTGCGCCACCAGGGAGGTCCGGCTGCTGTTTTTCTTAAGGAAGAATTGGGGGGACGGGTTTGGGGGAGTAAAGCCACACAGGTGAAGTACCCTTCTTGTATCTGAGGGACAATTTATCACAGATGAGGTTAGCCCTAGCCATCTGGCCAAGGGGGTGTTGTCGGTGTCCCCCACTATAAGGCTATGTCCCCCCACTTCTCGTACTGCGGTCTTCGGCGGTAACTGGGCACAGCCCACAGGTAAGGTAGGCAGAGCTGGGCGCCATCTCGCGGAGGGACGACGCCCACCAGGCTGGGATCGGAGCCCGCTCGGGGCGGGGCGGCGCGGCCCGGGACGCCGGGTGGGGCGCGGCTCCTCGAGCAGCCAAAGGCGAGGCTGGGCCGGGCTGAGGAGCGGGCGGGCTGGGGCACGCCGGGCTTGCTGGGCCCCAGGCGGGGGACTCCCGGTCAGGGGCTAGGGGGGCGGCTAAGGCGCATCCCCCACTAGCTTCGTCCCCCCTAAACCGGGAGGGAAAGACCCACCGCCGCCTCCGAGGCAGGGTCCCCGCCCGCGGGCCTAGATACCGGGCGGGGCCGGGCGTCTGCGGCGCAGCCAGGCCACGGCGCATGCGCAGCCGGGGGGCGCCGGCGCGAACAGGACGGCTTCTCTCGGCGCCTGGGCGCGGGGCGGGTGGACGGGGGCGGCCCGGGCTGCGCGCGGTCTCGCCCTCTGCTGCCTCAGCGCATTTCCTGAAGTCAGTTCTGGGTTCAACAGTCGGGCACTGCCCTGGGCTTCCGCGCGCACCCACCCCGCGGCCGCCGCCATCTTGGAGGTGAGTGACGCACTTCCGGGGCGGGGTCCAGTTGCCCCGGAAGTGGGGCGGGGCCTCCAGTTGCCCCGGAAGTGGGGCGGGTCCTGCCCACGTTGTCCGGGCAATTTAATTTTTTGGTGTGAAAAGGAAAAGCCCAGTTCGGGCCGCGAGGCCTCGCCGGGTCTGGCCGCGAGCTGCGCCCGACGCCACGTCCCACCACGCGGAGGTCACGTCTAGCGGGCGCTGGTCCGGAGGCCGCCGTGGGCGCGCCTGGGCGAGGCCCCGGGGTCGGGGGCCGCGGGTGAGCCCCCCGGCCGGGCGCAGGAGTGGGCAGGGCAGCCCGGGGGGTTCCCGGGCAGCTCCGGCCGGGAGGCCCCGTCCCCACCCGCCCACTCTGGGCAGATGAGACAGTGAACCCCCTCTTTAGTCTCGCTCGTCTGCTGTGTGTCAGTGGTCGGGTTTCAAAGCAGCTGCGTGCTTGAAGTGCACACGCGGGCAGTAGCCGCCTCGGGGTAGCTCATGTATCGCTGACCCTCTCCCTGTCCTATAACAGTGCGAGTCTCACAACAGGATACAAATTAGTAAGTTCCCTCCCCCGTCCAGTTTCGCATATCCTTTCTTAAACCCTTTCTGTTTTATAAATTCCTATCATGGGCTCAAAAGCGAACCCAAAGTTTTCACTGAATTTGTAATGTTCTGCAACTTTTTTTTTTTTTTTCACTAATGTATCTTGGACATTTCTTTATTTTTAGCACATAATTTTCCAATTAATGGCAGCCTACCATCCCATTCCCTGATAGAGTTCTCTGCTATGCATTTTTCCTATTAATAGTTGCATCATACTCCATTCCACAATATTCCAGGCGTACTGGTGTGTTTATTTATTTTTTAAAGATTTATTTATTTGTGCATGTAAGAGCTGGGGTGTAGGCCAGAGGTGCGGGAGGGTGAGAGGATTCATCAGAATAGGCAGATCCGCTGAAATACACTGCCAAGGGGAGCAGCGGTAGAAATGTTATAGGACAGGGAGAGGGGCAGCCCAAAACCCCGCAAACCTGCCTATTCTAAATGGGTTCTGCCATCCGCCGCATCAACACAAAACATATGAGACTTTAATGGGAAGGAACTTTAATTAAACTAGGAAACAACACAGGTAAGGCAAAGAGTCTAGTTTCTAAATGAAGCACCCAAAGTTACCCGTCCCCTCGTGGGTAAAAGTCCATCCATATGGGATTGGCCCAGAACAAGGCCCCAAAGCCTGCCACAAGTCTAAAGCATCTTCCAGTGGGGACCCACAGAAAAGGGTCACAAACAACCAGACAAGCCCGGAAGGAAAAGAGCAAAATCAACATCCAGATAAAAGCTGCCATTGTCACCTCCCCACGGGTCTCACCCACATCTGTGTCACCCAGTCCACGACCAAAAGACAAGCAGTTTCTTCACGTGTCTCTAGGCTCCATGCGCCTCCTCCAGGTCTCCTGGCTCCATCCTGCTTCCTTCCTTCCTCAGTCTCTTCTTCAGCTTCTCCTCTTCCTGCTCAGCTCCACCCTTCCTTGGGTGGGGCAGGGAACCTCCCCCTTTCCTGGGGACCACCCTGTTGCAGAAACAGGAGAGGTCTGCTGTGCCATGTGAGTCAGCTCCAGGCTACGGTTCAAAATCAGGCCGCTTTTGCCTTTCCTGTGGGAGGGCCCAAGGGCTGAGGGCAGTTGAGGTGGGAGAGGTGGTAGCCCTGAGATTTAACACCTAGACCACCAAGGAGGCCCCACTGACAGTATTTTTTCTTTTTTAAACTCCTTAGTGAATGGGGGCTTTATGACTACTGTTTATTCACAGTATCCTTCGTGCTTAATAGATGTTGATTCGAATTGAGATGTAAGTCACCAAAGCACCTGGTGATGAGGCCTCGCATGATTAATCAGCATTTAGTAGGACCTCAGGATAAAGCCCTTTTAGAGGGACCAATATGAGCAGCATTTAATTGGTGCACAAGGGGTCAGGATTGAACTTAGTGTAAATGTTTTGCATACACAGACTTTAGAGCAGTGGCTTACCAAATTAATATTCGTTTGTATATTTAAATCCTCATAGGTACAAAGAACAGTGATCATCATATAAGTGTAAACCAAGGCAAAGAAAATGCTTTTTATTTTAGCCTGAACACATATATAGACACTTCTGTTTTAGTATGAGGAAGGGAAGAGGAAGGACAAGCCGGATCAGAAGGAAACGCTGCCTAAATTCCAACTCCAGAGGAGGTACAGTTCATTTCTTTGGTGCCTGTAATGAAAAGGAATCTTTTGTGGATTGGTATTCACAGATACACATAGCTTTATGCAAAGGCCATGGGCAATGTTCAGAGAGCGTTTTTCCTAAACAGTTCTATTAGTGCTGTTTATCCTTTTGCACCTCTGGGGGATACGAATCTATTTCTCATACTTCAACTGTGTGTTCTCTGGGGGTGACTCCTAGGTTTCTGGCTCTGATCCTGATGTCTTGCTCCCAGGAGATTGTCAGTATGACAGTCATCATTTCAAATTCAGTCTGACCCAGTCTGAACAAGGTGCCCTATAGGAAGTCCTTACAACCTCTTGGAAAGTATCAGTACTACATAGATACAGTTGTTACTTTTGAGAAAAATTAGTCACACTCCTAGTTGACCCCAAGCCTGTCAACTAGGACTCTTCATCTTTCCTCTCCCTCCCAGCCAGTGACCTACTCAGCCTGGCCTGGCCTTTCTTAGATCAGCTTCTCCCTTTCCACCCCACTCACCGTAGATGCTGTCAGTTGGCTCTTTACTGGTTTGTTTCTACTTTTGTTTTTCTTCCCTGCTGGTGGGTCATTTACTGCTGTCAGTTTAGCTTTCCTAAGAGACTGCTTCTGTGCTATCTTTTTGGTTTGGGAGCCTCCAGTGATCCTCACACCCTTTTGTGTAATGTCTACACCTTCCCTGCCTGACATCAAATCTTTGGAAGGGGCTCTACCCTGCCACTCTGTATGAGAAATATGTTCTCTGCTCAGTTCTCCCCGAGCTCATCCTACACATTTCCCCTCTGCCACCACCCGTGATCCTTCTTCAGCCTATTCCCTACTTGTTCAGTTTGCCTCCAAGCTTACATCTGAGTTGAGGTCCTGTATTTTTGGCAATGCCATATCTTGTTCTCACGAATGTCACCCTGTGTTGTCATACTTATCGGGTATTATTCTTTTTTTTTTTTTTTAAGATTTATTTATTTATTTATATAAGCACTGGGTACAGTCAGAAGCGTGGGAGGGTGAGAGAATTCACCAAAGCGGGGAACAGAACAGGCAGACTGACGAAGAAGTACACTGCTGAGGGGAGCAGCGGGCGGCAGGAGAGGTCTGCGCGCCATGTGGGACCCTCGCAGGCAGCCGGGGATTGAACTGGCGCTGCAGAGGCTGCGGGCAGCTTTGCTGCCCAGCGCTCAACCGCTGTGCCACTGGGGAGGCCTTATTGGGTATTATTCGTAGGACACCTTGGTTTTCCAGTTTTTCCAACTTAATTGGCAACTTTTTGAGGGTAAAGAGCACGTTGCATGTTTCCCAGGGGGTTCACAGTACTGTTTGTGTAGTAGTTGCTCTTTGGATTTTCATTGATTAATTGCTCTTACTATAAAATCTGTTATCTAATTTGTGATAACATATCTTGGGAGTCTTGTATCTTGGCTCATAAAGATTTTTAAAAGAATAGCTTTATTGCAGCGTAATTGACATATGATGAGCATCACTTAAAGTACATGCAGTTGTCCCTCAAGCAACCTGGGTTTGAACTTTGAGGGTCCACTTACACACGGATTATTTTCAGTAAGTACATTGTAAAACTTTTTGGAGGTTTGTGAATTTCTCTTTTATATTATCTTTTCATTTTTTTTAAAATTAATTAATTTATACAAGCACTGGGTACAGTCAGAAGCGTGGGAGGGTGAGAGAATTCACCAGAGCCAGAGTGGGGAACAGAACAGGTAGACCCATGAAACACACTGATGAGGGGAGAAGCGGGCGTGGCAGGAGAGTTCTGCACGCCTTGTGGGACCCTCACCGGTGGCTGGGGATCAAATCGGCGCTGCAGAGGCTGCGGGCACCTTCGCAGCCCAGTGCTCAACCTCTGCGCCACCAGGGGAGGCCCCTATCTTTTCATTTTTGATGTGCAGTGTTAGTAATATGGGTAACACCTGCGATATTTTGTGTCAGCTAAGACAATGGTGATATAGCTACCCATAGACAGTTCATCTTGCAAACAGATGATGTAAAGTTACTGTGTCAATGAATCCTACAATAATAATATTTTAATAGTATTATTATAAAATATTTTCTCTCGCTTTTTTAATTTTAAGAATACAGTGTATAATACATATAAGCATGTAAACTTGTTAATTGACTTTATGTGATCAGTAAGGCTTCTGGTTAATAGCAGACTGTTAGTAGCTTCTGGGAGTCAAAAGTGCTCTGCAGATTTTGGACCATGCAGGGTGCTCTAACACCCGAGTTGGTCAACGGTCAGCTGTAATTTGATTTTGACTTAGGGGTACACACAAGAAACCGTCACCGCAGTCAAGATAATGGTTATAGCCAGCACCCCCAGAAGTGTCCTTGTTTCCCTTTATAACCCTTTCCTCTTGTTCCTCTAAATCTTCTCATCTGTCACCCGCAGGCAACCGCTGTTCTGCTTCTGTCACTATTGTTTGCATTTTATAGTTTTATGTACTCATATACTATGCATTCTTTTTTTCTCTGGCTTCTTTTAGTCAGCATCGTTATTGGGTAATTATATGTTGTGTGTCAGTAGTGCATTCTTTTTATAGCTGATTGTATTTCGTGAGTTGTTCCGTTGATGGACATTTGGGTTGCTTTCATTTTTTGTCTGTTACAAGTAGAACGGTTGTAAACATTCGCCTGTGGGTTCTCTTCAGGAGTGAGTGGATCAGGTGGTACATGTACGTTTAACTTTTAAAGAAACTGCCCTACTTTTACACTTGCTCTTAGCCAAAAGGCTGAGACACATGCCTTACTCTTTAAAAGTGGTTGTATAATTTCACATTCCAACCAGCAGTTTAAGAGCGCAATTGCTCCACAGTCTTGTTGACACTTGTTATTATCTTTTTGATTGTTGCTATCTTAATGGGAGTGAGTGCTGCCTTATTGTGGTTTTGATTTCTGTTTCCCTCTCTCCTTGTATCTAGCATCTACCATGCTACTTTGTTTCCATGGACAGACTATTCTAGATACACCTCAATTAAGCAGAATTGATACACCTCAATTAATCTTTTTGTGACCAGCTGATTTCACTGAGTTTAATGCCCTCAAGGTTTATCCACGTAGTATGTCTTGCAATTTCTGCCTTTTTAAACACAAAATTATATTGTGTGTGTGTTTATATAGAAAACACATTTCTTTTATTTTTTTTAAAGATATATTTTACTTATGCATACAAGACCTGGGGTATAGGCCAGAGGTGTGTGTGTGGGGGAGGTGTGTGTGAGACAATTCACCAGAGACAAAGTGGGGAGCAGAACAGGCAGATTGACTGAAATACACTGCTGAGGGGAGCAGCAGAGAGACAGGACCAGGTCTGCTGTGCCATGTGGGTCAGCTCCCTGGCTGGGGATCGAACTTGTGCTGCAGATAACTTCATAGTGCTGAGACTTAACCCCTTGTGCCACCAGGGAGGCCCTAGACAACACATTGTTGATCCAGGCGTTCACTGCTAGTTAGATTGCTTCCAGCTCTTAGATATTGTGACTAATTCTGCTGTGAACCTGGGTAGGCAAAGATCTGTCTATTCTGGGTAATAGATCTAGAGTTGAAATTGCTGGGTCATAGGCTAATTCTGTTTTTAATTTTTTGAGCAACTGTGATACTGTTTTCCGCAGCAGCCCTATCATTTTACATTCCTGCCAACAGTGTGTGAGTGTTCCAGTTTCTCCGCACCCTTGCCAACACCTCTTTGCAGCTTTGGGGCATGAGGCACACGCTCTGTGGTTTTGATTGGCGTTGCCCTAATGATTAGTGATCCAGAACTTCACTTGGGTCCTTTGCCACTTTATTAACTGGGCCTTCTTTATTCATGTAGGCATTTGCAGCTGTCAGATTTTCTGTCTCAGTTCTGGGGGCTGGAGGTCCACGTGAAGATGGTCGCAGGACCGGTTGCTCCTGAGGACTGAGAGAAAGTCTGCTCCAGACCTGCCTCCTAGGCTTGCAGACGCCGTCTTCTCCCTGGATCTCCTCTGTCATCTTCCCTCAATGAGTGTCTGTGTTCAGAATTTCTCTTTATAAGGACACTTTTTATAGGATGCAGTTAGATTAGATTAGGGCTCATAGAATGACCTCATTTTAACATGGTGACCGCTGTAAAGACCCTGCCTCTGAAGGTCATATTCTGAGGTCCTGGTGGTTAGGACTGTGACAAATGAATTTGGGGTGCACAGTTCAGCCCATAGTAGATGTCTTATTTTTCTTTCCCGGTCGCACTGGCCGGAACCCCCAGTGTGGAGTTGAATCGAGGTGGGCGGGCAGGTGCCCCATCTTGTTCCTGACCTGGGCGGCTTTTCGTCGGGCGGAGCAGCTGCAGGTTTCGCCTTGGCGTTTCTTCACCAGGTGGCGGCGGTTCCTTTCTGTCCTTGCTGCTGAGAGGCCTGATCAGGAAGGAATGTTAGTTTTTATCAGGTGCGACAATCCTGCAGCTTTTCTTCCTTCATTCATAGTGTGTGTGCTGGTTTTGGAATTTATTCCTTGTCAGGATATGACAGAAATTTCACCAGAGATTTTTGTTAATGGTGACTGATTATATGGTGACTTTAATCGCTGTTTTTTCTGTCCTCTTTTGACTAGTGACCGAGAGCTATAAGCCGGAATTTGTAGCGCTGAAGAAGTGGCTGAAAGATAGGAAGTTTGAAGATACAAACCTAATTCCTGCTCGTTTTCCAGGTAAGGTCTGACCTCCAGGTGTCATGGCCTGTCTCTGTGGGAGACGTGTGGGTCAGGTGGGGCGGGCAGGCCGCTGCCACAGGTGGTCTGTGACCTCCTGGGAGCCTCTCTTAGTTGTGAGTCAGGCTTCCTGCCTGCTTGCTGTGATATTTTTTAATGCCTTACCTTGTTCTAAAAGTCAGGATTACGGGGAGAAATTCCAAAATGGAGAAATGAAATTAAAATGAAAAACTGGAAATGAGAAGAGAAAAATAAGATGAAGGCTGGGATAATGAGAGTAGATAAAAGACATGATTATGAACCCTGGTACGCTTGTCAGGGGTAAGCCTGAAATTCGACTCATCTTTCCAGTGGCCGGGATCTGTTGCCAGGATCTTAGTGTTCCGTAAGGAAAACCAAATTTTTATCCTGGAACTTAGACCTGGGGGAAGTGTCTCTGCTGGGTTCATGGGGTTTTTAGACCATGGAGGCAGGGGTGTGACATGGCTCAGGGGTGCTAGAGTCGTCTTGCGAGTGGGCAGGGTGGTGCCAAGCCACCCTGGAAGGGCTTGTTCTCCTGGAGTGTCAGGAGGGCAGGAGCCCTGAGGGACGTCTCAGTAGACAGTGCTCCCTTGGCAGCTTTTTGGCCTTGCTCCCCAAGTGTGTCAGGGGGAGCCTGCTGTGTGCTCACAGCTGCACCAGTCCTGTGATCTGAAGTGGATGAGCGTTCTCTTCTGGACGCTGAGAAGCTGCTTGTGGCTTAACATCTTTTTCCTGAAAAGTGAGGAGCTTGGGAGGGAGTTTGGTTGAGTATTTTCTTCTGGAACATTCTCTCCCAGCAATGGAGGTGCTAGCTCTGGGCACGTGCCTGTATACACGACTCCCAGTTCAGTCCAGAAGTGGGTTGGAGGCAACATGGGGAGCACTAAGGTGTTCTTCAAAAGGATTTGGGTCTGCTGTAGTCTACTGTGCCCTCAGGCCCCAGGGCTCCCTCATGGGCAGGCCTTGACATTGTACCGGACAGGACATTCAGACCATGTGTCTCTGCTGCCCTTTTCCATGAAGCACCCACTTGGTAACGGACTGAGCAGTTTAACCCCCTCTGCACCCGCAGCAGCAGATCGTGTATGATAAAAGTCTGTGATCTTTGGGACTTGACCCTGAAGCTTACTGTCCCTTCAGGATTGTGAACCCCAAAGAGTTCCCCAGCATCAGCTTCATGTAACTTTGAAGTTAGTCATACCTTTTATTCAAAATGGTGTCTCCTAGGACCTTGAAGTGACAGCACGATTTGTCCCTTTTCTGTCTCTGTGTCCCTAGGTACAGGAAGAGGGCTGATGAGCAGAACCTCCCTGCGGGTGAGCCTTTCTCTGTCCTCGAGACCCAGTGTCGGTTGTGTGACTTTGGCTTTGTGGTTCAGAACAAGTAAACTGAAAATATTCCTGACACAGGCATTTCTCGTTTACCTAAGGGGTCAATTCTGTCCATTAGGATTAAGTTTGCTGCAGGAGACCCCCAAGCGTCTGATGCCTCCCACAGGGGAAGTTTACTCTGCTCCCAGGGACAGGCCTGGGGAACCGGCCCTGCTGCTGCCAGTGCTTCCTTCACGCTGGAGCTCGAGCTGCAGGTGGCACAGGAGGGTGGGAAGGGCAGGTTCCTCTCTTCGAGGGAATTTCAGCCCATACTCACCTGCCAGTGACCAGCCTGGCCCAGCTGCCTGAGGGAGAGGAGGTGCGTCCTCTTCTGGCTGGTGGCCCCGGTGGATTGTGTTAGTGAGGAGAGAGGTGCACGGGGAGGGGGCAGCCATCTCTCAGGAGCAAATTTTATAAACCAGACCGTGTGCTCCATGAGCCACAGGAGCGCGGTGCCCACGCTGAGCGGCGGTTCCTAGGCAGCAGTGCCTGGAGAGGCCGAGGGGAGGCTGAGAGGAGGTTGGGCTCCCGACTCCTGCTTCTGAGAAAGCGAGGAGGTGTAGGGGTGGCAGGAATGCACAGTGCAGGACCTCTGTGATCCGAGCAGACGGGTAAAGGAGAGTCCTGGAGCCCTCGGTGGCCTTCTCAGGGTTTTATTGGGCTTTTATATGTAGTGCAGCAACCAGGTACATGCAGGCAGGGGTGTGGTGGGGCCGGGAGGCTGATAGGGGTGGACCTCTTGGCCCCCAGCGAATCTTCACTCTTTCTGGGCTCTCCGGGGCTCTCTCGTGGTCTCTGCGTCTCTCCCTTCTGTTTCTCTTTCTCTTTTTTCTCTCTGGCATCCCTGTGACGCCGCCCTTGTAAGCCCAGCCTCGGCCCCGGTGTACCCACCTACGCACGCCCACACCCCGCGCCAGGTGCCGCCATCAGGCGTGTATCTAGGACCGCAGGGATCCATCATCAATGCTAATGGTGGGAGGGCAGGAAAGCCTGACACTTACCCTACAGGGGGGAAGTGACCAAGATGGCCTCCAAGATACTTCGGTTCTTGAAATGCTAAGGACTTTCTAATGTAAATGTGTTATTATTTCTCTTATAAATTATTTCTACAATTTAGTTTTAATTATTTTTACTTATAATTAAGTCCTTAGTTTATTTGAAACCCAGCTGTATCAACTGACCTAAGGAATAGTCCCTATTAGCAGAACGATTCTGTCACACTAATTTATTTTTTTTTATTATTTCAAAATGTCTAATGTGGTAAAATACACCCTGCATGAAATTTACCATAATGTGCAGTTTACCGTCTTGGCCATTTTTAAATGTAGCATTCAGCAGCATTAAGTACATTCACACCGTTTGCAGTGCTTTTATTTTCTGAGGGGTGCTGTGATGGATTTTATTCCGGCGGGATCTAGGGAGGCGGAACACGCCTGTTGCATGTAGCAGCAACTGGGGGGAGCTTTGTTAGGTCATGAGCTGGCGTTGTTCACACACACTCTCACACATGCCTTTTCTGCTGAACTTCCTGACAGGGACACGCTCAGATCTGACGTGTCCATTTGGGTGAATTTTGATGATGGAGGGATTTGTCCCAATTAAGATACAGAGTGTTTTATTAAGTGGCTTTTTTAAAAATCAGGAAGCCCTGGGTGTCTGAGCCCTGGGTGTATGTGACAGCCAGCTTTGTGGACGAGGAGATCGAAAGTGGAGCCGGGAAGATTTTTGACTGAGATTTACAACCAGCTTCTAGACGCCCGTCATAAAGCAAGCTGGGCCTCCCCTTGTCACTTGTGTCTGGCGTCTATGACTTGACTTGATATCTGACTTTTTCTTCCTATTGCTTTTGTCTCTATGGGAGGAACTGAACACTCTGCTTTTGCAGGTGCTAAATTGAGACCCTTGTGCCGGGCGGGTGCCCTCTCTCAGCTGGTTGACCCAGGATACTTGGGCCTGGAGTAGTCCCTGGCCACTTAGGCTTCATTGGATGGAATTTTGGGGGCTGCTTTCTGCCTGTTCCCGTAGGCAGCCCTATTTTCTGCCATAAGACAGTGAGGAAACAGTAGGATCTGAGTTTGTAGAACCTTTCTGCTGAAAGGTTGGCCAGGCATGTGTAAGGGCAGGAAGGACCACTGAGCAGGTTTTCTGATCCCATGCAGACCGGGTAAAGGAGGAGTCAGAGTCCTCAGTAGATTTGCAGGTTTTTTATTTGGGGTTCACCAGGCATATGGCAGGCAGGGGTGCTGGTGGGGGGCTGGGAGGCTGGCAGGCCTCCCAACCCCCAGCAAGTCTTCACTCTATCTGGGCTCTCTAGCGTTCGTTCCGCTGCTTCTCAGCTTCTCTTTCGGCTTCGGCTTCGGCTTCTACTGCTGCTGCTGCTGCTGCTTCTGCTGGCGTCCCCGTGACGCCGCCCTTAAAAAGCACAGTCTTAGCTCAGCTGAATCCCATCTACCCATGCCCACACCCTATTCCAGGTGCCCGCCATCAGGCATGCATTCAGGACAAGGATCCATCATCTATCCTGATGGCGGAAGGGCAGAAAAGCCTGACATTTTCTTTACCCTACAGCATGTGACAAACCTTCTGTTCCAGTTGGGGTTGTGCGCGCCTGGAGTGTCTTGCTGCTGCAGGACGTGGAGGCAAGGCTGCTGGCGACGGCTGGGTGCACTGTGTCAGGTCGTCGTGGGGTCTCAGCTGACGGTGGTGGATTGTGGGCTTTACAGAACTCACGCTCTCAGCCCCTTTCCAAAGGACAGATGTGCTGAACTCTGCCTTTTCTTTGGGAAGGAGGGGCAGATGGTGATTTCGTTGCCTGAGAGCTGCCTGCTTACCACGGACACGGTGATGAGAAGCTCCTTAGGGGCCTACCTCGCCAAGTAAGTGACCGTCCACCTGCTGTGCTGGGCAGCTCCCCATTCAAGTCCAGCTCTCCATTCAAGTTCAGCTCCCTGTTCAAGTCCAGCTCCTTCCAACACGTCATCCAGGCCTAGTCAGCAGGGCCGGCTGCTCTGCTTTCGCAGCTAATAAACATCCGAAACAATTTGAAAAATTCACTCTGTTCTGTGAAGTTTGTTCTTCCCTCATTGTAAACTGCATTTTGAAGGTTTTGAAGAGGCCACTGGGGATGTCAGCTTGAATCCTGATCTGTTAATACTAGAAAATGAAGGCTAAGTGGGTAACCTGTATAATTCATGAGACCTGGACCCACAGTAGCCTGAGCTCTGCCGTCACAGGATGGCTCCTCAAATGCTAGTTACTCTTATTTTTTACCTTTGTTGTACTTACTTGAATTCTGGTAAGAGCTGTTGACATCCCTTGAAAGGATGAGTTTTATTTAGTCTAGAAGAGAGGAGGCTGGCATGGGAGGTGAGGCCTACTTCCTGGCGGATGTATGGTCGTCTTTTGGGAGGACTTTCTGAGGACAGGGCATGAGCTCAGCAGAAGCTCTTTCTAAGTTACAAGAGTTGAAAGGTTGTATTGCCTCTAACCCCCGGGTAAGTTCTAGGACCCCACCCCTTCTTCCCTTTTCGGGCCTAGTGTATCTTACTGGCCTGAGTGTGTGTTGCTCTTGGTAGACACATATCCTTCTGGAACTTGGAGTGTGATGTGGGTAGTGGGAACCTGGGCTTTGTGGGGTGGGTAAGTTTAGCAATAAAAGCTCTCGAACCATAACAAGGACATAATGAGCCTCCATCTAGATTCACACAGCCGTGTGGCTGATGACTACTGGCAAAGGGACTCGCCGGTCTGAGGACTTGCAATGGAAAGTTTTAGACAATTAAGATGGAAACAGCTGCAGGCGCCCAGTGGTTCCTGTGCGGGTGGGGGTGTAGGCTTGCTGCACCTGCTCTTTCCTTGCCTAATTCTAGATCCTTATTCAGATGAAACAAGTGGAACCGTGCCTTTCCAGCAAGCTCTAAAAACAGGGCAAAGAGGTATTTTACAAAAAAGGCATCTCCAACAGAGCGGGAGCTTGGCCTAGTGAGTTAGTTCTTACCACTTGTGAGAGGGTGATTCTTTGGGGCGCCTGCATCAGAGTGCAGCCTGGAGGGAAGCCTTGAGGAAGGCGGACTGGGAAGGCGGGCTCTCTCCTGGTGCCTTGAGGAACACGGGGCCGGCGCTTGCTTGGCCACTGCTTGGGTGGGGATGTCTCTGTCTTTTGCTTCCTTCATATTTTGCACGAAACTAATTTTTTTAATCCGACTCTGTTTCTTAAAGGTGGCAGCCTCCTCCGTCTCCTCTTCTGGCTCTCTGCACCTTTTTAGTTTCAGAAAGGCATGCCGGGGACCGCTCTCTCTGGAAGCCTTACCTGGACATTTTGCCGAAGGCCTACACCTGCCCCGTGTGCTGGGAGCCGCAAGTGGTGAGCCTCCTGCCCGCGCCTCTGAGAGCCGGGGCGGAAGAGCAGCGAGCCCGTGTGCAGCGGCTCTTCACTTCCTCCAGAGACTTCTTCTTCTCGCTGCAGCCTCTGTTTGCAGAGGCGGTGGAGGGCATCTTCAGCTACCGCGCCCTCCGGTGGGCCTGGTGCACGGTCAACACCCGAGCCGTGTACGTGAAGCACAGGCAGAGGCCCGGCTGCTCCGCAGAGCCAGACACCTGTGCGCTCGCCCCGTATCTGGATCTGCTGAACCACAGCCCGCACGCCCAGGTGAGCGGTTGACAGGGGGCACAGGTCCTGTTTGACAGGAAGGACTCCGATGTGCAGAACCCGTGGCTCTGAATAGTGAGCGATGTCCCAGGGAAGGGACCAGCGGGCTGTAGGTGAGCCTGCCTGTCGTCAGGTGCTTGTCTGTCTTCCCCATCCCGTTTCCCTCCCAGCATCCTTTTCCTTTGCTGCTTTCCCCACTCTGCTTCCGGGGCCTGTGGTGCCCAGTGCTGTGTGCCCCGGCCGGCCTGCAGCAGCCCTCCCCCCCACGGTGGAGCAGCATGCGTCCTCCTCCCACAGCTGCACATAGTTGGGTGTCAGAGCCCATGCATTCCCCTGCCCTCACCGGATACACCCCCACCTGGCGGTAGAGGCACCCCCCGTGGCTGGTTGCCCTGTCAGTGCCCCAGTTCTCCACTGAGCAGCTCCCACTCCCTTCCAGCCAGGCGTCCCCTACAAAATCTCCTTCTCACGGGCCTGTGCGGCTCCCAGGTGTAGCCGCTGTGCGCCCTGTGTGGCCTGCTGCTGCCCTCGGCTCGTGCACGTGACTGGTTCCTGCCGTCACCCGGCTCCTCTGTCCACTGTGGTGACGGTGGCCGCCCCTATGGCCCTGGAGGACGCCTGACTCTTTGGTGGGTGGAGTGGAAGTGGACAGAGGATGAAGGCAGCCCTGGCCCTTTCTGCTCCTGTTGCTTTCAAAAACATCTTTCACCATTTTCCTTTCTAGGTAAAAGCAGCATTTAATGAGGAAACGCGCTGCTATGAAATCAGGACGGGCTCTCGCCGTAGGAAGCACGAGGAGGTGTTCATCTGCTACGGCCCCCACGACAGCCGGCGGCTGCTCCTGGAGTACGGCTTTGTCTCCACCCCCAACCCTCACGCCGGCGTCAGTGTCACAGAAGGTGGGAGCCGGCTTGTTATGGGTCTGGGCCTCTGTTACTTAAGTCTGGACCCAAATGGCAAGGGCTTAAAATGGATATCACTTTATTTCTTGCTAGACAGAAATGAAAGCACAGGAGTATAAAAAGAACTCTCAAAAATTGGAAAGTCCCTCATTACACTACTGTATCCATTAAAGTACAGCTTTAATAATTTTTGCATGTCCCCTTTAAGTTTGTGATTTTTTTTTTTTTATGATTGCAGTCACTGCTATCCGGGCACTTAGGAATTCTGCCTTGTAAAGACTTGGTGTTGTAAACACCGTGCCACTGTAGAGCCTGTGCTTTTAGGGGTCGCTTCCCAGCACCCCTGCTTCTGTCTTAGCTTTTGACTTAGCTGTGGGTTTGCTGAGAGTGGGTGTGAGCTGAGGCCGTAGACGTTTCGCCCCTCGTCTTGGCGTTCTTGTAGCTTTTCAAGGGCTCAGTAATGACTTCACTGAATTGGAGTTGAAGAGTAGAGATTTTGGGTCTGCATTAGATAAAACCGTTGACGTGTCTGGATTCCTAATGGGAAGGAAAACCGAGAAGCCAAGGACACCCTAAATCTCAGCCTGCTCTTTTTCTCCGTGTCTAGATGTGCTTGTTAGATATCTTCCATCAAAAGATGAACAGATGAACAAGAAGATTTCCATTTTAAAGGATCATGACCTTATAGAGTAAGTCTCAGCCTCTATGTCCTTCCCCCTCCCCCCTTATTCTGTCAGGAAAGTTTGATGAGAAAGGGAGGCTGGTTTCTGTAGGCACCACGCACCCCCGACCTGTGCCAGTTGGCGGGTAGCTCTTTACTGAGCACTTACTGCGTGCTGAGTTGTGGTTGATGCTGTGGCGGGGGAGATGCTTTGCAAGAAACGGACTTAGGGGCCTGGGATAGAGCCTGAAATTCTAAATCCTGTGCCGAAGGGAGCCCCAGGCCATCGGTGAGTGGGGGTGTGAGCGTGTCTGACGTGTGGTGGGGCAGTAGCTTGCCCTCAGCTGCCAGCCAAGGGGCGCAGGCCTTGGGGTGAGGTTGGGGCTCGGTGACTCCCCGCCAGGTTGGAGTGACAGGGACCAAGGCTGGCCCTCCAGATTGTCCTCCGTGGCAGAGGTCGCCCGCAGCAGAGGGTGCTGTGTCTGGCGGGGAAAACCCCTTGTTTGAGCCTCAGACAGTCCAGATTCTTCATCTTTCCTCTCACCCCGAGCTGCTGCCCCCACATCTAAGTTCAGGCTTATGTTCATTCTTTTGACCGAGGTTGCAGGTTACAGAACGTTTAGCAGCCCCTGGGAAAAAGCGTTTGGCTGGTCACCCTGCGCCGTGAGGCACGCCCTGAAATGGCAGCTTTGTCCCTGCTTGTCTTCCTGCTTTAGAAATCTGACCTTCGGGTGGGAGGGGCCGTCCTGGAGGCTCCTCACGGCCCTGAAGCTGCTTTGTCTGGAGGCGGGAGAATTGTAAGTTCCACGCGGGTGGCGTGTGGTGTCGGCCGAGAACGCCAGAGAAGGTCTGGATGTAAAGTTGGGAATTGGGGTTGCTGTTTGGCTGGTGGTGACGGCCCTGAGAGAGGGGGATGTGTGCTGGGGCTGCCGGCTCTCTGTGGAGTTGCCCCTGTGGCGAGGGGTTCACTTCTGATTCCACCTTTCCTGGAATTGTGGTTTCCTCAGAATCTGTGGGCTGGAGACTGGTCTCCGCTCATCTCTCCCAGGCCTGCTGCTCGCAGGTCAGGGCGGACGCTCCTGCCTCTCTGTGGCTCTGTCGGGTGGGGGCGCTCTTTACCCTTCTCTCACCTTCTCTGTGCCCCCACAAAGTGGCCATGCTTCCTGGGTGGCAGCTCCTGTGATGCTCCAAGCTTGGTGCTGTCTCCGCGCCTTCTCTCTCTCCCGGGGGCCCCTCCTGCCCCTGAGTTCTGCCGTTGTCTCTGACACTGGAGACTGTCCCCTGTGGGTGGTCAGCTGCCCTGAACGTCCAGGCCACTCGGGGGGATGGTTCCCGACCCCCATTCTTCCTCTTCAGCCACTTCCTCTTCCAGGTGCTCCCCATCCAGGATCCGCCCCCCTCCCTCTTCCTGCTGCGTCCTGCTGTGGCTCCTTTGGCTCTGCCACCTACTGGCTCAGAGCCACTGCGGCTCCCTCTTGCCCACCCTAAACCACCAGTGCTCTTCTCTGCTTGCAGAACGTGGGCGGCGCTGTCCTCCGAGCCCCGTTTGTACAAACTTTGACCTGAGGTAGAGTCCCTGTGGCGCCCCCACCGTAGTGCACTCCGCTCTGAGTGTGTTTCTCCTAGTTTGCTGCTGCTTAGGGAGGCCTGTCAGTGGAAGTGGAAGACAACGTTGCCTTTCCCCCCAGCCCTTAGCCCTTTGGGCTGTGACCCCACCTTCCCGTTGTGTCTTTTGCCCTGGTTTCTGTAGGCCGGACGCGGCATTGCCTTGATAGTAAGATTCAGCCCCTGCCTGCGAAGAGCACTGGTCCCCTCACTTCTCATTCTCGGTGTGCCCCGTCTTTCTTGCAGACCTGGTCTGCCTCACACAGAAGCTGCCTGTGGCGGGAGCTTGCCTGGAACCTGCTTCTGGAAAAGCAGGAGAGCGCGTGCGCTGTGTTGAACTGTAGAAGCTGCCTTTGTTTTTTTGCTTGCTAACGTGATCTACCTGAACATTTTGTTTCTAGTACGTGCTGGAAAAAAGTACTTCTTGGGGAAGTGATTTCAAATACAAATGAGAAGGCGAGTTTGGACATAGCCCAGAAAATATGCCACTGTTTTACAGAGGAGACTCATGCTATGCTTAAAAAGGTGTGTTTCTGGAAGAAATGTGTTGGTTAAGAAGCTATTTGTTTTATACGTGTCTCTGGGGAGACCAGACCTTATTTTCAGACATTAGTAATGAGCAATGATGTAACTGAACGTTGAGATAATCTGTGTTTTTTTGACTTAAACACTGGTTTAGATACCTTTTAATAGGTGGAGTTATTATGTGCATTCTTAGTAAAAGATTTTAAAGTCTGTGCCCCCTCTTTTTAAAAAAGATTTATTTATTTATTTATACAAGCACTGGGGACAGTCAGAAGTGCGGGAGGGTGAGATAATTCACCAGAGCCAGAGCGGGGAGCAGAACAGGCAGACTGACGAAGTACACTGCTGAGGGGAGTAGTGGGCATGGCAGGAGAGGTCTGCGCGCCATGTGGGACCCTCACCTAGTTGCTGGGATTGAACCGGTGCTGCAGAGGCTGCAGGCAGCTTCACAGTCTAGCGCTCAACTGCTGCACCACCGGGGAGGCCCATACGCTCCCTTTTTATTTTTTGTTTAGTAAATGTTTTAGTTACTAAAACATTTCACTTGACCGCATTCCTGGGGTTAAAGAAGTGATGATCATGGGCCTTGAAGCCATTATGAATGAAATAAGCCAGAATACGAGGACCACTGCTGTGTGATCCACTCAGGTGATGCCCCAGAGTAGGAAAAATCAGAGACAGAAAGAAAGGAGAACAGACATTCCTGGGGGCCGGGGCATGCTATGGGGAGGGATTGCTTCTCTTTGGGAAGGTGAAGGCGTTCTGGAGGTGCGAGGGGGGTGCTGTCATGTACTTTATGAGGTACTGGAAGCCCTGAATTGTACATCTAGAAGTGGTCACAGTGGTAAATTTCATGCTTCTGTGTATTTCACTCCAATAAAAAAATAATTTTGAAATAATTTCCAGATTTCTGATATGAAAAGTGAAGAAGGCGCTTTGATAAACCAACTAACTTTGGTGGAAACGTTGTGGACGGAAGAGCTGCAGATCCTGCAGGCGTCTGCCGAGACCCTGAACGATTTGCAAAGAGCTTTTAGGTGACCTCACCCTGGCGTGTTGTCCAGTTCCTGTGGTGGGCGTGACCCCGCACACATTCTGAGCCTCCGGAGACGTTTTTGAACTAAGCTTTATTTTATGTGGACTCATATACAGTCGGCAAGCAGTTTCTATTAAACAGTCACACACTGAATCCTTTGCCTTTTGCTTTTCCTAAAAACCCTGAACATGGAGAGTGTGTTGGGGGTGCTCTCAGGACACAGCAGGATCTCTGTGGGAGAGCAGGTCCTGGGGCTCCATAGCTGTGTGTGTGTTGGGGGCTTGGGGGAGGCACTGCAGCCCATGGCGCTTTACTCTCACAATGAACCTCGGCCCCCAAGAGGGAGCACCTGGCCTGTGGGCCCTGTTGCTTGTCGGACTCAGGAGCTGTAAAGGGCACCTCCTCTAAGTGCTCTGGTACTGTCAGGTTTAGGGGCACGTGGGTGGTAGGTGGGGATCCTGGAAGGGGTGCACGGCAGGCCTGGGTCCCAGCCACTCACTGGACTTCATATTCAGCTGCTCTGAACTGGTGTGAGTCACTTCAGTTTTCATCCCTGTTGTCCAGAGGGGCGGGCCCTAGAGCTGCAGCCCTCACTCCCCGACTCAGTGGCGGGCCAGGAGTTGTGGGACCCGCAGGGCAGGTGGGCTAAAAAGCCCCCTCTTGCTTTTGTGGCCCAACTTGATCCCTGGCACTGCAGGAAAGGAGACACGAGGAGAAACGTGGGTGAGTCATGTGGAGGCTGACAGTGGCGGCCATTAGCCCCATGAGGTATCTCCTTTTGGCTTAGCTTTGTGGGACCTGCTTCAGAACCCCTCTCCTATGGGTCCCCATCAGAGGTGCCACAGACTGAGGCAAGCTTTTGTTCCTCAGTGGCCCTGCTTTGGGCCTACCCTCTTTGGCAGGGCATTTGCCCATGAGGGGATGGGTCATTTGGGATGTTTTGTTGTGAAAAATAGTCCTTTCTTTCTGCACTTTATTAAAATTCTTTCACACTAAGAGTTTCCTTTGTCTTTTTTTAAAAAAAGTATTTATGCATACAAGATCTGGGGTGAAGGCCAGAGGTGTGGGGGTGGGGGTGAGAGGATTCACCAGAGACAGAGTGGGGAGCAGAACAGGCAGAATGACTGAAATACACTGCTGAGGGGAGCAGCCGGCGAGGTAGGAGAGGTCTGCGCCATGTGGGTCAGCTCCTGGCTGGGGATCGAACTCATGGTGCAGTGGCTGCCGATAGCTTCATAGTGCTGAGACTTAACCCCTTGTGCCACCAGGGAGGCCCCCTCATTTTTATGTGGACGATGGCAGAACCCTGTTCTAGGTCATAAATTCCCTTTGTGTGGGATCCCTAGGTACCCCTCGTCACTTGCTATCAAAACTCTATAAAGGACCAAGAGTAAATATTTTAAGCTTTCTGGGCCATGTGACCTTTGGTCCACTGCTGCATGGCAACCACTGTCTTTAGGTGAGCAGATTGCATGGCTGTGTTCCAATAAAACTTCATTTACAAGCCAGGTGACAGTCCATAGTTGGCTGAGCCTGTCCTATACCATAATTAATTTTTACCTGTCCCCTCTCAGTGGATGTTTAGGATCTACATATATGAACTACTCTTTGAAGGCGCTTTATGTCTTTGGAGAATAAAGCCCTTCTTATCATGGAAGACTGCAGACTCATGGGACTTGTTGGGATTTAGTTATCCAGTGACTGGTGACAAAAGCAACTGTCAGACATTTACAAGGGAAATATTTGGTGGTCCACAGAGATGTTTTTATATAAAAAATAGTATAATACTTTTATAGACAATGCTTGGTGTATATGTGAAATCAGACTCTTTGCAAGAAATTTGGGGTTCTGTTATAGGGCAACCCCAATGTGAAATGGTTGGCCTGACTGTGGGTCCTCACCTGCATGTTTCAAAGGGATTTATAATAAGACTCAATTGCAGGCGCACACATAAAGGGTAACAAAGGGTTTATTTACCAAAAAAAGGGGAATGAAGAAATGAATAGCTTAGGGAGAGAGAGGGATAAGTTGGTGGATTCGTCCTGCCAGTTCTGCTGAGTTGCAGTCCCCCAGCAAGTCCTCACTCTATCTGGGCTCTCCGGCTTTCTCTGCTTCTCTCTCGGCTTCTGTTCGTTCTTGGCTTCTTGGCTTCTACTGGCGTCCTCATAATGCTGCCCTTAAAAGCCCAATCTTAGTCCAGGTGAATCCTATCTACATCTGCCCACACCCTACTCCAGGTGCCGCCATCAGGCCTGCATTCAGGACCACAAGGATCCATCATCTATCCTGATGGCGGGAGGGTGGAAAAGCCTGACATTTTTTCCTTACCCTACACCCTCTCAAAAAATCAATGAACTACAGGTTGACCGAAGGAGCTCAGGGAAAGCTCTGGAGTACAATGAAGCAGCAGCAAAGGGCGCAGAGCCCCCAAAAGCAAGGCTGGTGTAGGGTAAAGAAAATGTCAGGCTTTTCTGCTCTTCCACCATCAGGATAGATGATGGATCCTTGTCCTGAATGCATGCCTGATGGCGGGCACCTGGAGTAGGGTGTGGGCATAGGTAGATGGGATTCAGCTGAGCTAAGACTGTGCTTTTAAGGGCGGCGTCACGGGGGGACGCCAGCAGCAGCAGTAGCAGCAGCAGTAGAAGCCGAAGCCGAGAAGCAGCAGAACGAACGCTAGAGAGCCCAGATAGTGTGAAGACTTGCTGGGGGCTGGGAGGCCTGCCAGCCTCCCAGCCCCCCAGCCAGCACCCCTGCCTGCCATATACCCGCTGAACCCCAATAAAAGACCTGCAAAACCACTGAGGACTCTGACTCCTCCTTTACCCGGTCTGCATGGGATCAGAAAACCTGCACTGTGCCCATGTCCTGCCCTTACAGCTGGCCACCAAGAGAGTGCAGGAAGCATTTCACGCACCTGCCCTGGGGAGGAGCACCGTTGTCAGCAAAAGGAGATGGTTATAGTCATAACGTGTTATGAAAACCCCATAACACAAAACAAAAAAGCCTCATAGACACACAAAGGATGAAGAGAAAAGAATTGTAAGAGGGTGGTGCCCAGGAAATGAGGAGGTTCAGAATCTATTCAGAACAGGCAGGTTTGGGGGTTCTGGGGTGCCAGTCTCCCTGCCCTGTAACAGAATCAAAAAAAAAATCTCAAAGGAGGACAGCAGCAGAGGAAGAAGGCAAATACGAAACAGCTAACACGATGGGCCTGGTGCTCCGGAAGGAGAATGTGCAAGTGGAAAGTCCATTCGAGCCAGCAAGAAAATGTGGGTGGGGGGTGTGGGGGGGTTCTCCACCTCTCGGGCTTCATCCACAAAATGAAGGGGTCAAAGCAGATGACCCCAAACATGGCTTTGGCCCCAATCCTCTGATGTTACATTTATTCAGAGACCAGCTCTTGGGGTCACATAATCCAGGGTGTAGCATAAATGAGCTAATCAGGCTTTTTCCACCACCAGCCTCTGTGGCTGTCACCTGCGGCCTTGATCGTGTTAACGCAGAAGGCGCTGGAGGGTGTGGGTGCCGGGCACGCGTGCATGACTGTGGACACCTGGAGCGTGTGTGGATGTGTGTCAGTGTGCACACCTGAGCCTAGAAGCTGGGCTAAAAGCAGCGGCAGGGCAAGCACGCGCGCTCTGACTGCAGACTAAGCAGACCACGGGCTGACGCCAGACAGAGCCCAGAGAAAGATTCCCGGGGGCTCCTGCCCGCCCTGCACCTGGTTGCTCCCCCACACAGGGTCAGGTCCGCCAAGGCTTCCCATCAAAGCCCGACTGACACCGTGGAGTGTGTCACCTCGGTGAGGCTGCTGCCCCCACAAGGCCCTTTCCTTGCCCCCTAAGCAAAATCTGAGCTACTTTTCATTCCACTGAGCACATGCTGCGTCAAATTTTTTACAAGAGCCGCTGCTGTTCTGAAGGTCAATGTATGTGGTAGACAGGTTTGTTGTCTGTGGTGACGTTGTTGTATGTGCTGCATCAGGTTGTTATATGTGGTTACTGACTTGTGTGTGGTACCTTGGGTTGTTCTGTGTGGTTGTATGTGCTACACTGGTAGGGCTGTAAAGAAGTACAGCAGGCCTACTTCTTGCCTCCTACTGCTCTTCTTTTTTTTCTTTTTAAAGATTTATTTATGCATACAAGAGCTGGGGTACAGACTGGAGGTGTGGGGGGCGAGAGGATTCACCAGAGACAGAGTAGGGAGCAGAACAGGCAGATTGACCGAAGTACACTGCTGAGGGGAGCAGCGGGCGAGTAAGAAGAGGTCTGCTGCACCATGTGGGTTTCTCCCTGGCCGGCCCAGGATCAAACTCATGCTGCAGGGGCTGTGGATTGCTTCACAGTGCAGTGCTTGACCCCTTGCGCCGCCAGGGAAGCCCCTACTGCTCTTCTTGCTTATTCTCACATGACTTTCCGGCTCTGTGAAAGAGGCTGGTGAACAAACCTGGCGGCACTCCTAACGAAGCCCTATATTCAACCAGCAGCCAACAAATCAATATGGGTAGGGTACACTTTCCTCTCGGGACAAAACGTACTGCGTAACATGAATATGTCACATCGGACGCAGAGTTAAAATAAACTGCCTCTCTCTGGACCTCAGTGACCCCTCAAAGGGCAGTATCTGGAACTTCTGGAACTTCGGTGAAAGCCGTTTTCACACAATTACAGCTCCGATTTCCTAGAAGGTCATTACCGGTCTCCACCTTTTGGCAGAAGTCCTTAAAGCACCCCAGTCTGAGGCGTGCCTCTTCTATTTTTAGCCTGAAAGATTACAGAGAACTGCCTGAATCATCCTAACTTCTAGAGTCTGTCCCCCCAGGCCAAGTCAGCACTGGAAGGTTTGCAACCCACAGACTCAGTAACCAGAAGGGGTGAGCGGGAGCTGTTAACAGCTGCAGGCACACCCAAGGCACCAGGAAAGGGAAAACAGAATGTGGAGGCAAAAAATGGTGATGTGGGGGGAGGGTGGGCAAATGAGAGACTAGGAAGAAAGTGCGGTCCTTGGGAAGCCCCTTGAGCTGCCCTCCTGACAGCACAGCCCAGTCCAGGGCTCATATGCTGCGCTGCTAGGGGAGGGATGTCCTGAACAAACTCCACAAGTAGGTTCTATGGACCCCACCCCCAGCCCAGACCAAAGACACTGCAGACACCAAGGACTACCAATCCCATCATGTCGTCACCACCGCAGGGAGGGTGCTGGGAGCCAAGGTGGAGATAAGCAGCCAGGCGCGTTGTGTCACCAGACATGCGGGCCTTGGCGACCTTCATTTTTGCCTCCTTTTGTTAGGGGGAAATGATGTCCTGAGCTAATCCCATACAGGCTTGGTGGACGCCACCCCCACTCCAGACTAAAGCCATCAAGACATTGGGAAAGACAAATCCCATCACCACCAAAGGGAGGGTGGCTGGGACCTGAGGGTGGAGTTAAGCAGCCAGGTTGGGTCTCTTGCTCTGTCTTTCGCCTCCTGGCTTCACGGCTCCTGGCTGGCGGCAGCTCTCAGAGTCCCATTTGGGATTCCTGATCGGCGGATCGGGTAGGACTCATTTAAAACTTTGTCTCCCACTTTTCTCCCTGAGCTGTACATTTCCTCCTTTCCCCTTCCCTTGTCAATAAACCTTTTATGAACCTTTCGCGTGTGCCTGCAGTGGAGCATTGATAAGTCCTTTTAAGCGCGGGTGAGGACCCACAGTCAGGCACCCCGTTTTGTATCGGGGCTGCCCTATAACACTTTCAGTGGACTGCCAGCCTCCCGGCCCCCCAGCACCCCTGCCTGCTGTGTACCGGGTAAATCCCAATAAAATACCTGCAAAAAACCACAGAAAACCTGCACTGTGTCTTCCTGACCCTTACAGGGGGCTACAGTGCTGGCACCTCCCAAACCTCTTGCTGAACCTCTCTTCCCTCTCACATGGAATGTTATGAATCACTGCAGCCCTGGCCCCTCCATCCAGAGGATCTGATCTCATTGGTCGGGGGTGTGC